GAATGTGATCAGCCGCCGAAAAGGTGGTGCAAGTCAGCTCGTACCAAAGTAAGATGTGTGCGACACGACCTTGGCCTTGTAGATTTGGCCTACCAACGAAAGCAAGGACCGTCTTGATTTGATCAAGCATCGACTCATCAGTACAGGCAAGGGATCTTTTCAGGTTGTTGCCTACATCAGAAATAAAATGGTTAGATGGTATACATGACAAATGAAAATAATGCCAAATGAGAAAAAGGCTTAGTTAGGATTAATCGGCGACTTGGTTCACCCTTACGCTGGGGAATAGGAGTTTGGCGAACTTTTCCTTCGCTGAACTCCCAATTGTCCCAAATGGGCACCATCACGTCATCCACCTTTTCGCCAGAGTTGGCAAGTATGGTGACCAGATGATGATTGGTATCCTTGGACCTGAGAAAATACCGCCCTTGCCAACCAGACGATTTGGCAAGGACGTAGCAGTGCCGAATAGTTGAAATCCCTAAGGTAAGTTGGAGGTGGCAATTTAATTCTATCACGCCCATCACAATTAGGTAGAAATTGACATTGGGTTGGGACGGAATGAAACCCCAATGACGTAGTATAGTTCTTGAAGAGGAAAACAGACACCCCATTCAGCGATTGCCAAGAGGGAGAACGCAATGGTGTTCTTGTCGGCCCTCTCCATGCTCACTTCACCATCCCCAACCAATGATAGTTGAACGTCGTCAGGGATAGAAAAGTGACGACGAAACGTTGTCACTCTATCTTTAGAAAGAAAAGCCTTAAGGTGATTCACCATGGGAAGACCAGTGTGAAAAGACAAAGAAGCACAAGGGGCTGAATGATAAATAAATGAGAAAATAGGTGCTCAGAGAATTTACGGAGGGAAATAGAAGAATCGCAGGCTGGAAGAAAAGCAGGAGGAAGACGGTGGAAGTCTTGGGGTAGAAGTCACGAATGCTGCGCAACAATGAAGCTAAGGGGAAATGAAATGATGGAAACATTTCAAAATGCATTAAATGAAGCGAGAGCACGATGAGGCGGGAAGCCACAATCATTATCTAGCACGTCTTTTTTGGTTCTGGCATGGGTGTCGACAAAGCGCGTCCGCCGCCTTCCCAACTCAGAATACGTGTCTTAACTGATGCCTCTTCAAAAGCTGAGTTCGCCGACTATACGGGTCTGTGGATAGTCAACTACTCAGGGCGCAATTGTGGGAGGCGAATTAACGTAGCCCAATGGTATCGGGCCCAACATGCGGATCGACCCATGGGGCCTCATCCGAGTAATATTTGCGAACAACAGCCTAGTAGTCCCTTACACTGGCATCATGGTTAGACGCTGATTCCTCGTCGTAGAGTGCCGAGATCCAGACGAGGTGCAGAGTAAAGGATAGAACCTAAGAAGTAATAGTCTATAAAAGAATGAGGGAGCTCCAAAGGTGAGGTATGTTCAAAAACTAAACTTCACACTAGATAAAAGAGAAGACTAATTAAATCGTCGGAGTGCTAATTCTGGTACCTCCGAGTGAAGCTGTTCTTGTTTCAGGTACCTACATGAGGACTGTTCGGAGATCTGCTTGGATCCATGAGAATTCCAAATCTATCACTCCACATCGTCCATTTTTTTAAAAATACTAGATCCAAATTATAGAATTTTTCGGGAAAAGACCCTTAAAGTAGTTTTCTAGTAGTAAAAAGACACTCCAACCAGTTTTATGTATAAAATCATTCAAAATAGATTTGTAATGGGACAAGTGCACTAAATTTTCTATACTACTATCTATATAATCATTCAAAATAGTTGGTTTAATATATATATTTTTTTTGGGGTGTTTAACTAGTGATTATTAGAGGAGAAATAACAAATCAGTGTTAGTTTTGAAAAATAATTATAGATTTATAGTAAAATTTATATAATTTAATGATTAAAGTAATAATTTTTTTTTTATGAATTTGTAATTATTTTAAAATAGTATTGCTGATTTGTAAATTCCCCATTATTAAACGCCACTTCCTCCTTTTCGGCTTGAAAAATACAAAGTAAAATTTCACTATCGCAAAATAATAAAATTTTATAGTTAGAAAATTATAGATTGTAAAATACAGGGAATTAAATATAGTGAGTGTTTGGAAAGTCAGTTTTTTTATTTGTAGGATATTATTAGAGAAATTTTTTTTTTTTTTGTGTTTGGAAAGATAGCTGTGATTTTTTGTGATTGGATGTGATATTTGTGATATAAAAAGTAAAATGATTATGGGGTTTGATATGATTTGGTTTTGTAAAATATTTGTCTTGTAGTGAAAAAAAAAACCCAAAAACCCAAAAACCAAGTTTCCAAACACCCCCTATGTTTGATTCGTGAATCACATTTTTTGGATTGGTTTTTTTTTTTTTGTTTCGTAACCAATTTGTCTTTTAGTGAAAAAAAAAAAAAAAAACCAAACTTCCCAAACACCCCAAATATTCTTATATTTTCATCAAAATCTTACTTTCAGTCCCTTTATTTTCAATGTAAGGATGCTAACGAGATAACAAAAATGTCACACATGCTTCAAATGACAAGTTCTGTCACCTTTGTAATGATAAACAGTTGTAAAAATGAAATTACAATTTGACTTAAAATATAAAAAATTAACTGTTATAATTAAAATTAAAACAACAAAAATAATATTTTAATAACAATATAGAGATACTACGTGTAAATAACCAGCAAAACTATTCACCTTACTTGTTTTTACTTTTTAAAAAATACTTTTAAGAAAATTCTATTTTCTTTCTAATTTTTTTTTCGTATTTTTTTGTTTTACTGAATTTTTTTAATATTTTAAGTAATTTTTTTACTTTTTAGATACACCTAACATAAATATACCTAAAAAGTAAAAAAATTATAAAAAAAATCTTTTAAAAATTCACTAAATACCAAAAATATAAAAAAATACAAGAATTCAGTACATTTTTTATATTTTTATGTATTTATTAATTTTTAAAAATATTTTTTTACAAATTTTCTACTTTTTAGATACATCTAAGTAAGGTGCATAAAATTTTTTTTTAAAAATGTTTAAAATTTAAAAAATATTCACTAAAAACAAAAAAATACGAAACCTAAAAAAATCAATTTTCAAAAAATTTAATTCAAAAAACTCAAGCTAAACACACGGAATGTCATTTTGCACCCTTCGATTTAGAATTTTCAATCGCCAAATTTGAAATTAGTTTCCCCTCAATTTTGTCCCTTCTAACTGCCAATTTTGAGATGTTTATTTTTACTTTTTTAAATTTTGTATTTAACACAGAGTTAGATCTCGACAAAAACAATCTTAAAGTATCATTTTTTTTTTTTTTTTGAAAACCAAACGTGTAAGTTTCGTTTGGAAGTTGGGTTGGCGTTTTGCCCGTTTTAGTTTAGGTAAAAAAATTTATTTTGATTAATTTTTAAATTTTTTTGATTTTTATGAGAGAACAAAAAATTAAATGATTGTAATTTAGGTGTGATATTTTTTCTGATTAGTTTTTTAGTTTATTTTTTTTTTGTGACTAATTTAGCTAAAAAGTCAACCCAACCTAATTGCCAAATGACACCTGAAAGTGATAGCAGTTTAAAAATTGAATAAAATTATATGTACCAATTGATATACTAATTAATATATTAACGGCAATGTGACATAATTTTAGAAGTTTTAAATTTTTGTAATTTATATAATGAGTGAGATCCATAATTTTAAAAATATCATAACATATTTTGATACACTAATTAATATCCTAATTAATGTTTATAACACCATTGTTAAAAATTAAAAACCCAATTTAAATGCTACCGATATTCCATTTCTTGTCCCCAAAATATATGTCTTGTCATTTTATTTCTCAATATTTAAGTTATATAAATTTAATCCCAATGTATAAAAATATTCCATTTCTTTGTCGTTTAATATTTGATCACTTTTTTACCTTGACTCTTAATTTTTTTTTTCTTTCCATTTTTGCCCGTAGTGTTTCAATTTTTTTTTTTCAATTTATTCCTAAAGCTAATTTACGTTCAAAATTTGTCATGTAACATAAAAAAATATATTATTATATTAGAGTTTAATTGTATGTTAGATATGTGAGTTACATATAATAAAATATTTTTATGATACACGATTGTTAATGTGCCATTCTCTATCTAACTTTTAACAAAAATTAACTTTAGGAATAAATTAAGAAAAACCTGAAAAGTTAAAAAAAAAAAAAAAAAACAAACAAATAAATTTTAAAAATCAAATTGAAAAAACGATCAAATATAAATTTAACCTATTTAAAATGTATCAATATGATCTCTCAAATATATATACAGGGAGGGACCTATGCGTGGAGCAACAGGGCCACGTCCCCCGCTTAATTTTTTTTTTAAAAAAATTATATTACATATAATTGTGTAGGAAATATGCCCCTCTTTTGTCATTATCAAGTCGTGTGTGCCTCACCTATTCGCCCATTCCTTTTTTTTCGTCTCTTCTTTCCCAAAAAAATAAAATAAAATAAAATAAAAAAAATTAAACTTAAAATAAAGAATAAATTATAATTAAAAATTCACTTCTTTTTATTCATATATTAAATATAATTTTTTACAGACTCTTTGTTTGTGTACATTAAAAAGGAAATTGCGGAGAATTTTATTACAAAGTCAATCATTGAACACTTTCGAGATATGAAAAAACGTGAGTTCCACTTTGATAGATGATTAAATTGATTTGTAAAAAGAATTATTTAATACATGACTATGTTTTTATTCATATATTAAATTCACTAAATATACCTATCTAAAAAAAAATCACTAAATATATGATTGTTTTTATTTTTTATGTACTAATTTAATATCAAATTTTAGTTTATTTTTTGAATTCAAAAAAAAAAATTATATTAATTCATATAAAAAAAATTATTCATGTTGACCCCCCACAAATGAATTCTTGGTTCCGTCCTATATGTTTTAATTTACAGACTTCCTTCAGGGCTGCAACCATTATGCTTACCTCATTATGTAACCGTTGAGAGGCTGAGTGAGCGTCTGAAGCTCTTAGAAGAAGATAGAGTTTCTTCACATTTGGTTGAACTCTTAGTATCTTCTCCACAAATACTACATCCACACAAATATAACCATATTCTCATTAAAACCATGCATATATATATATACATATATGGAGAGAGAGGGAGAGAGAGAGAGAGAGAGAGTACTCTTCGCTAGAAAGCCAGTGGCACCAGTGACTAAAATTGTTCTGTTCTCAAGAAAATGGACAACACTACCCAACTCCATTGGACAAGGAAAATGAGAAGCTAAAGAGAGAGTTTAAGATGCAATGCAAAAAGAAGAAAATAGAGTTCCAAGTGTTTTGGGATTTGTATTGCCTTTCATGTATATTTTATATATAGCAAGTTCCAAAACGACAAAACGGTGCACTGTGTGGTTGGGAAATTTTTTATGGAATATACCACAAACACTATTATCACATAAAATTAATAAACATAATATAAATTCAGATAAAAAAAAAAAAAAAGGCTTGTGATTTTGATATAATTATTGTCTTGAAGGAACCCAAATCACCGTTAGTCAGTGTAGTGTTAGCAGATGATTGGGCTTTTTTTGCGGTTTCAACATAGCTGGGAGCGTCTAATTTGTTAGGATGATTTGTGCACTCACTTCCCTTTATTGATATTTATCTCTGTATTATTAATTTTTATCAATAATTTTTTTTTACTGATCATAAAAAGAAATTATTGTCAATCATTTAAACGTTGTGTACAAAGAAATATTAATAAATTACTTATGATTGAAGTTGTCCAAAATATAATACAAAAATAAGAGAGAGAATCGAGTTTGGACTGGAGAAAAAAGACAATGGCGACTTCCAAGATTTTTTGTCATTGGGTCAATGACTCTGATCAATTTCTATTATTTATTTCAAATAATTTGATAAAAATAAATTAAATTTCTCAAATAATAAATAAATAAACAATTTAGCACGTTCATATTAATGTTAAAAAAATTAATATATCAATTATTGAGGTGTTCATAACGCTGTTCAAGAAAAAAGAAAAACAAAAAAAAAAAAGTGTTCATAATGAGTTTTCATCTCTTGGAACAGTTGATTAATTATCTCACTATTATTTCTTTAAAATACATTATTCTCAAACCGGTAGGTGTAGGTTAGCAAACAATTATTAGTTCACTAATCTCACATTCGGTTGTGTAACTGCGTGGACCCGTCACTGCGTGCGTTGAAATGTCAAAAACGTGTTCGTGTGGAAGTTGGGGCTGCTCTGCCAGGTCTCGCGGGGAATTGACCCAAGCCTCTTTTGATGAGGGTGATGGTAGGATGCAAATTTTTTTATTAAATAAATAATTAAATATTTTATATGTGAAATATTTAAATTATTTATATAAAAAATTAAATTAATTGTATATTTTATAACCTTACAATAATATTACATTTTGTGGGGATATGGTTTGGAAATACTCTTTTGTTCCACTGTGACGCTCGAGATCCTCAGCTAGTGACCTAAAAAGAAATGAACAGTCCGGTTGGGGGTGCTGGAATTAGCACTCCGACAATTAAGTCAGTGTATACTCTCTTGATTACTTGTATTTTAAGTTAAGTATACTTGTTCTCACCTACCACTCTTTGGTTGTTATTTTTCTATTTATATATGCTTCTGGTCCTTAGGATAGGGCTTACTATTAATCCGCCATGTGATTGCTCAGTCGGCCCTTCTTTCGTCGTGTTCCAACTTTCAATCGGCCCCTCGTTCAACTGACTTTATGGCCGAATAATATATTCGGCATTCAGAACGCATAAAACAGGGACGAGTATAATATGTACCGATTAACCAAATATGTACTCGGCCTATCTGTATCCCACTTTTATCTGGCTTCCACAATTGCCCCCCAAACACCCCACTAGCACTAGTTAGTCGGCGTGTTTGGTTCCGAACTTGAAAAGTCAAAAATTCGGTGGTTAACCTCATTACAATGTGTGTCAGAGCGCACACGTTTTCTGGTCATCATTACAAATTCCCGCTTCTTCGTCCGCGTCCTCTATTTAATGTGATTTAAAACTGTCTCTTCAAATGTATATTCTGAATACTCAAAGTTTCTGGCTCGCCTTCTAGTTCAACTACTTCACTTCGCGACCTCTGCAATTTCCTCCCATTTCTCATTATACCTTCTGCTTACTGTAAGTTTTCTTTTTCTTCGCTCCCAATACTATTTCCTTGTTTACTTTCAGTTTTGCATAATCCTTAGGCTGTCCGCGATGGCAAAAAATTTGAAAGAGCTCATTTCGGCGGATCGAATTTCTGACTTCCGACGCCATTATTTCATCCCCGACGACGTCCATCTGTCACTCGTGGCAGACATCACCACTGATATAGAGAGGACCGATGAAAGTACAATCATCTTTCCTCTCCTATGGATTGCTGAGGGCGGAGTCCGTTTTCCCCTTCACCCATTTTTAAGAGCTGTCCTTCGGCACTAGGGTCTAATTCCTTCCCAGCCTAACGTGAATTTTTTCCACATCATAATGGGGATTACAGAGTTAAACCGTCGTCTTAGGATTAACTTAGGTACACCTGCAATTCGGCATTGTTATGTCTTAGCCAAGTCTACTGGCCGGCTAGGACGCCATTTTCTCAGGGCCAAGGATACCGATCATCACCTAGTGACTATGCTTACTAGCTTTAGCAAGCGTGTGGACGATGTGATGGTCGTTGTCTGAGCCAACTGGGAATTCAGCGAGGGTGAAGATCGCCTAGATCCCGTGCCAAGGCGAAAGGGCGAACCAGGTGGCCGTATAGCTCACTCTAGCTTATCTTATTACCTTATTTGTATTCGGCTTTCCTTCCATGCAGGTAACAATTTGAAAAAAGTGTTGGTTTCAGCTGACGACGCTGTACTTGCAGACATTAAAGTCGCTCTATAGTTTGTTGGCCATCCAAACCTGTGAAAACAATGGAGGGTGGCCCACATTCTTTTGTGGTACGCGACATCTTACTCTACATTTTCGGCAGCAGACCACATTCCAACTCCGAGTGATGAAGATCATCTTATCGCCCTTATCTTCCCCAGCTTCAAAAACATAAAGGAGGTTGGTTTAGAAGACTCTGATTCGGCACAAGGAAGAATAAGCAGTTGATCCGATCGCTGAGGACCTGAACCAGTCGGAAGTCGAGATAGATGAAGCACTTAATTCGGCTTTTGAGGAAGTTGGATTCAATTTGGCGGACCCTCCGCCCGCCTCAAGGCGAGGGGACTTTTTCGAAGACATCTTTACGAACTTAGGGGACTTGCCCGGCTCTTATCCTGACAACATGGCTGGCGAGTCACTCACCCAAATGGCCAAACGGAGGAACGCTGAGAGGATGGTTGCCCGGAGAAAAGCTAAAGCTGAGCGAAACCAACCTCCACCCTTTCCACTTGACGCCGGGGAAGAGACTCCACTCGTTCCTGTTGAAGAGGTGGTTCAGAATCAAATTACCGAAACGGAAACTGTTGTCGATCAACAGGAGGGTCAAGTGACGGAGCTCAGGGGTGAAAAGTGCCCAGCTGATCAAGAAGCTGTTTATTCTGAAGACCCAGTGGATAAACGGCCACGCTTGGAAGAATCTGACTTGGTTGTGCTGTTCATAGCGCAACCAAGGATTAGAAACATGCCAGTTGGCTCCGATTCATCGGCTATAAGGGACCCGACTGTGGCCCTGAGCCTGGTTTCCTTCATTTCTCTGCCAGCTGACAGAGCAACTTTTAGAGTGGACGCCGATCTGCTGGCCATCGCGTTAGCCGCTTAATTAGCGATACTGGTACGTAGTCCTTTACAGTTTTGGAAGGCTAAAAAAGGAATGTTGCTATATTAGCTTACTAATCCTTTCTTTTGCAGGCGGCAGGGAGAATAGTCGAGATTGGACGTCGCCAACACGACGCAATCGAACAGATCGGCTTTCTTACAGCCGAACTAGAAAACGAGAAGGGCAGGATCGCTGAGGCCTCTCTCTGAGCCGACTCTGAGGCCGCAAGAGCGGCGGAAGAGAGAGCTAGGGCTGATACGGCAGCAAATGATGCTAGGACTGCTGTTGAACTGAAATTGGCCACTGAGGAAAAGGCGAAAGCGAATGAAGAAGCGCTCAGACTGGCCAAAGAAATGATTGCCAAGCTGGAGGCCGACCTGGAAGAATCGAGGCTGGTGATGGCAAACGCCGAGTCTGCGCTTTCCGAGTCGTTCCAGGCTGGTAAGAATGCGGCATTGGCGGATTACATTGAAGAGGTGCCGAAATTTGAAAATAAGGGGTTCAAACACGGCTGGCTCAAAGCCTTGGCTGCCGCTAACATGGTATCAGAACAGCCGATTCTGTACGGGTAGGTAGATGTTGAGCCGCTAGAGTCTGGCCCCGAAGACAGCTGAATATTTTCCATTTTGCTTTTGGTATTAAGCGTATGTAGATTTTGCTGTATGTATTAGGTTTTTGTTTTTGATTCGTCATTTTTGTGAGAAGCTGATATAGGGTAATTTTCATTTGTAAAGTGAATTCTATTTGTGCTCAATTTACGAATGAAAATTGTTTTTGCTATTTGCGCACAACTTATGAATGGAAATTATTTTTGTCTTTCGTGCTCAATGAATGTGCTTATTAGCAACCAACTAAGATGTAAAATCATGCAATGAATGAAACAAGCTACAGAATTAGAACTAACTGTAAAGTGCTGCAGTTTAGCTGAATATATTAGTGAATAAGCCCTTGCTGCAACAAGTTAATAAACCAGTCGGATTAAAAATGGTAGTTCAGGAGTTTGTTGGGGCACAACGGTAATTTAGCTGATCTCTGGCAGTTATGCCAAATATATTAGTGAATATGCCCTTGCCGTAGCTAGTTAATGAACCAATACAGATTAAAAACGGCAGTTCCGGAATTTGCTGGGGTATAACGATAATTCGGTTGATCTCTGACAGTTATGCCGAATAGATTGATGAATCTGCTCTTGCCCCAACAAGTTATTGAACCAAGACAGATTAAACACGGCAGTACAGGGGTTTGTTGGGGCACAACGGTAATTCGGTTGATCTTTGACAATTATGTCGAATAGATTTATGAATCTGCCCTTGCCCCAGCAAGTTAATGAACCAAGACAGATTAAAAACTCTAGTTCAGGGGTTTGTTGGGGCACAACGGTAATTCTACTGATCTTTGACAGTTATGCCGAATAGATTGATAAATCTGTCCTTGCCGAAGCAAGTTAATGAACTGGGACGCCGAAAACAATTAATGGCGTGAGGCTTTTAGAGTTGAGCATTAATAATATCGGCTCGAGGGTGCTGCACCCATAAGGAATAAATGGGGCGAGTGCTTCGT